CTGGCTGATGGACGACCAAAATGGGCTCAGCTTGGATTCTGGAGGACGGCAGAAGGAATTGGTAGCCTTTTCACGTCATGACAATGTCATATCTAGGTCTAAACAGTATGCCTCATGCCTTTTTCACAGGTTAATGACCCAAAAAGTTCACCCCACCCCACCCCACCGCCCACCTCCTGGAGGATCGGGTCCAAGCTACTTGGCGTTTCGCAGGGCCTCGTGCCGCACCTTCTCGTGCCCCGCGGGAACGACGTGGACGGCGACGAGGAGACAGAACGCTTCAGCCGCGACGGCGACGGTGACGGCGGCCTCCTGTTGCAGGTGCGCTGCTCCCAATGAGGTTTCCATTCGGAGCAAGGAACCTGTCACTTGGAGCTGTCAAAGTGTGCAAAGATTCACATGTTCCCCTTTTTCTATTTTTTTGGGTTGCCTTGAGGTTCCTGAGAGTTTGTACTATTACAAACTTTGATAAAGTCTTTGGTCTCCATCCAAGCACCGGAGAACCCCCACATTGAGCGGTGTGCTGTTTTATTCTACTGAAAAGCGCTTCTGGAACTGGTGGGCATTCCTCGGGCAAATCGAGATGTAAACGACCTGAGGACTTGGAATGCATGCGCTGTCCAGCAGGAAGAGCTCCCCAGGATGACCGTTGCGACGCATGCGCTTCAGGCGAAAGAAACGAAGACAGCGAGTTGCGACCGCAGGAGGTCTCAGCGAGGTTTCAGCGGTCTGGACGGTCTAGCTGCTAGACTCTAGCAGTTGACGTTTGCGATTGTTTTAGGGATGGTTCTACATAGGGCATGGGAAGTGATGTAAAATTGCAGTCCGTCTTGTACCGCTCCCCCTTGGAAGCAAGTTTTGGTTTTCAAGCACGTGGACCCCCCGTAGCTGGTTGTTCGAAGTTCAAAGGTATATAGCCGCCTCTCATTGGTGCATGTATAGCGGTATTTCTCTTTTTAGAGTTCACTTCGAGACAAGTAAGGTCTCAGCATTTTCCAGATCGTAATACGTAGAGTGAAGAGTGAAGGCCCACTCTGCACAAGTCACATGTTTCGAAAGATCGAAGCCATCTTCCTGCCTTCATCGCGATCGAACGGCCAGGCTTTGCCCAAGCTGGTGCTGTGCGTTGTGAAGACTGCCCACCTGGAGAGGTTCCTCTACTTCCGAGCCACTGGGTGAGCTGAACAGGACGATACGAGACGAGGCCGCCATCCAAGTTGAGTAGAGTAGCTCGCTCGACGATCCGAGAAAGATGGCTAACTTACGAGTATAGTAACAATGAAGAGCAGCTGTAATCGAGGAAGACATCAACCATTTGAGAAGGAAGACCCGTGGTATTTACAGTGCTTTAAAGATCTTTAAAGAGTTTCAGGTTCTTCAGATGGATAATTTGATACTGTGCCCTCTACAACTCGAATCACAAAACGAGTCGATCTGGTCATCACACCTTTTGTTTTAGCCACAATTTTTGTTTATCGAGTACTTGTTCGCATTTGAAGCCGCATTGATTTGGTAGGAAAGTATGAAGGGTTTAACAATTTTGATCCCTCGACAGGTGAATCGAAGTGGTGCAAGATGTTCTTCACTAAGGCCGCACTGACTGCAGGGCGTGCGCTCCCGGCCATTATTCCGATGGTGACATGTGCCGGTCCTGCTCATTTCCCCTTCTCGTGCTGGACAACACCTGCGTCTCGATTGAGCAGTCTATCTCATAACTTTGTTGCATGCTTGAGGCAAGAAGTAGACAAGCTGTTAGACGAGCATTGCGCGTGGGTGCTTCAAGATGAAGAATCTTGTGTCAACTTTCTCGTTTGTCCACATTTGTTCAGTCTCCTGTTACGTTCTGATTCTTGTAGCTTTTTCTCGATTGAGAGAAGTTGAAGACTTTGACACCTGGCAACTGCAAGACTTTGACCAAGGTGTTTGGTGGCACCTCGTGTTGATCATCGGCTTGCTGGCCCTCTCCTCCGGCATCATCTTCCTCCTACACCACATGGCCAAGAGGCATCGACGGAAGCGAACAGAGACCCGCCAAGAGGAGGTCCGGCTGAACGATCCAGCACATGTTGAACAAGCGAAACCTTCACGATTGCCATGTGTATACACGATATAACCGAGTTTCTTCATGTTTTGGCCATTCATCATTTTTTGGATCCATTTGTTCATTTATCTTTGCCAGTGTACATCCACTAAACTGCGCATGGATGACTTCGTCGCGGCCAGCGCATACACCGAGCCATAACACCATGAGGTGAGTCGGATCCTTCAAGAGTTTGAGGATGAGCTCTGGGATGAGAAGCCCGAGACCCTGAACAGGCTGGAGTCCTG